TTCATGATTAGGAAAGGAACAAGGCACAGTCCCAAACACTGACTCTAAGATAAAAAAAGACCAAATCAGGGAGATGTGACCTGACACGGGAAATCTCAGCCTGGAAAGCAAAGCAGCCATCTCACTGTAATCCTAAAATTGCTTTTCTCGATAGCATGTTTTGACTTGTGACTCTGGTAAGCACCCCAAAAGTCCTGGGGATTTTCGTCCTTGTTTTAAAAGCGGCAAAAGCTGATTTAATCAAATTTAATAAGGTTAAAATGATGTTCAGGCAGCCCAGAAATTCTAGCATCTTACACTGGCTTAACCAAGCTCTAGAAGTTTAGATTCTTGTTTTTCACAGTAAAACAGGCGTACAGAGTAAGGGCCACAAACTCTTCAATAAATTAATGGCTGGTGAACACCAGTTCAATTGTTCATTTGCTATAAGAATTAGTGCTACATGGCTAAACATTCTGCCTCGATTTTCTTATCTGTAAAATGGAGATTACAGAACCTAAAACAAAGGGCTATTGGGAGAACTAAATGAGATCATGCAAACATAATCCTTCAAATAGTATTGTGTAAATAGGGATAAGCAGTGATGACACAGCAACATCTATTTTTGGAGAGGAGCCAGTATTATATTGCAGTTCTCTACTCATGCTCCTTGCGGCAAGTTAGGGCCTTTTTTAAGGATACAGAATCTCTGGGGATGTGAAAGCACCCTGGCCTAAGGTTCTGCAATCTTTTTTGAGAATGAGTCAGTTTAGTGCTTCCAGTGACAAAAGCCAAGGTGTCCCAGTTCTTGGGTCATTAGTACTACGTCCTTCCTTTTCCTTTAAAAAACTTCTTTTTTTTTTCCTTTTTACTAAGATACCATGCTTTATAAAATTCATAGTTTCAGGCAAATAATGTTCTAATCCCAATTCCACACCAAATTTCCTTTCTTTCTACAATGTCCTCCCAGGTTCCCTCCTAACCCCCAGCCTGCATCTTTTGGCAGGCATATAAGAAATGTATTTTCTATTACTTGCTCCAACAAAACTGAAAGACATATTAAACTGAATTATCAGAAAATAAATTAACAAAAGTCAATTAGTGATGACATTGCTATATAACTTTAACCTATGTAAATAAATTCAAATCATTTAATACAATATAGTATATTACCTATCCTCATTTGTATAACTAAGCTTTCAACTCTGGCATCTAAAAGTTGCATTTAGCACTGTAACACTGTCCTCCTGTTGTTCATGGATTTGCTCGATTTGCTTGAGCGGGCCCAGTAACATCTCCATTGTGAGACTTATTGTTACTGTGTTTGGCATATCAGATACATTACAGGTAGCTTGCCAGGCCTTGCTGTGTGGGCAAAATACTCTTGGAAGCTTGCCAGGTTCTCCGAGAGGAGTGGAGGAATTGAACTTGGGTTGGTCACGTGCAAGGCAAATGCCCTACCCAGTGTGCTATCGCTCTAGCCCCAAAGTTGATTTAATTACATTTAATTGTCCTTGGATCTTATTCTGGTAATTATTATGTCCACCTGTCGTTAATAAAACTGCTTTTAAATTTTTGTGCTAACACATTTTAGAGTTTCCATGAAAGAGACAAATCTTATAAATGTAAAATTTAGTAAGAATGAAGAGAACTAAAAACATTTTTTTTTTGCTTTTTTTGGGTCACACCCGGCGATGCACAGGGGTCCTGGCTCATGCACTCAGTAATCACTCCTGGCGGTGCTCAGGGGACCATATGGGATGCTGGGGATCGAACCCAGGTTGGCTGTATGCAAGGCAAATGTCCTACCCACTGTGCTATGGCTCCAGCTCCCTAAAAAACATTTTAATGGTAAAATATGAAGAGGCCTATAAAATAGAGTGTTTTATCTTAAGAAAGGGAATATATGTTTTTTAACAGAAAATATTATATTGTAGGTAAATCTTAAGTGTCCACACAAATAAGTGGAAAACTCAATTAAAGTCTCTGGATTTTCACAGTACTCTAATAATTCTTTTAAAAAAATCTCTGGATGTAAAAATTTCTCAGCCATAGCATAATCAATGTGAGACAAAAATTCATTATTGAAAATGTGTGAAATCCCTTAGCAAGCTAGGAGTAAACATATCGTTCCTAATTTTGTAGCAGGCAACCATATGCACCAATTGTTAGTATGGCAACCCAGGTATTTTTGTATTTTAATATGGATTTTCTATTTTAATAAAATATTTTATTGTAATAAAATGTTCATTGTTTATTGTTAGTTCTCCCATGATTCACATGATTTTTCTTATGACTTTATAATCCAAGTAGTGCAGATTTAGCACAGATAATCTACCATTATTATTTCAGCCTTTCCGGAGCTATAATTTTGCCCTCTCTGAAGCCAAGTATCATTTTCAAGTATTGCCCATGTATAATCTACACATAATATAATATTAAAGGATGTCAAACTATTTATAGAATTATGTCTATAATAATGTTACAATATCATTTTGTCTTCAGAATCAGAAAATCGAAGTTAGTCTATTAATTAATTAATTATTATTATTATCTTTGCAGTTCTGGGGATTTAAAGCTAGAGATTTGTGAATGGAAGCCTCTATCATTGAGCCATATCCCCAGTCCAAAGCTAGTCTACTTTTAAGAATGTCTAAAGGAGATACCTGTATCTTTTCTGGTGTTGAACATCAGGCATTCGTATGCTGACAGGTACCTTCAAATCTGATTCCCGAATATACTTGCATCAGAGACCCAAAGGATAGTGTGAAGAATTGGGAAAACTTATTTGAAAGTTATCACACTCACTGAAGCCAATGAAGTAATTTAAGAAATTCTCATGCTTTTGGCCATAAATAGTTCAGATTCAGTTGATGATTATCTAAACTTCTAAAAAATGTATTCTTTCATTTGAACTATTCAAGAACCATTGATAACACCTTTCAAGTCCCATCCCAGAATTAAAAAAAAAGTACATTCCACTGGCTAAGTTCCTTCAAAAGTTTTGCTAAAGGTTTGCAGTGACTTTTTGAGCAATGTGGTATTAGCTGTAATAATGTAAATAATGTGGTATTAAATCCTACTGAAGCATAACTAAAGCATAGCTTAGAATGCAAGTTATGGCAAAGAGGGATCAATGTCCACTGAAATCCTTGCTTTCCTTGGGCACACAGTTAGACTAATTTTCCAGATTCCCTTGCAATTAGGTGAGCCAGGAATGTGAGAGGAAGAAGGAAGCCATTCTTGGGCTAGGATTTTTGTTTTTTCAAAGAGGAGCTATGCCTTGGCAGCGTTCTCTCTCTCTCTCTCTCTCTCTCTCTCTCTCTCTCTGTCTCTGTCTCTGTCTCTGTCTCTCTGTCTCTATCTCTCTCTGTCTCTGTCTCTCTCTCTCTTCTGATACCTGTGGGACAGAAAGAAGCCCACCAATGCCAGAATAATCTTAATTGTTCAATGTTTCAGTTAGCTGAGGTTCCATCACCCTGCTTTTAAAAAAATACTGTTTACAAAAAAAAAAAAGTTAACTTGCCACAAGAGTCTTGCCTTAAGCTCCTGCATACATGGTGAGGGATATACTTGTATTTTCTTGAAGCCAGCACCTGTTTGGTTCTATTTATTGTCACAGTTTATCATTGAAGGCTCATAGACTATACCATCACCAAATATGTCACGTCAGCATCTGAGTTACTTTGTGCTAAAAACATTAGAAAAATAGCTGGTGCTCAAATGCCATTCTGTCTTCTTTCTAAGAACAGGAGCTTAAATCCCCATGTGAAAAAAAAGTGTACTCCCTATAACCAGAGGAAAGACACTCATCACCAGCAACAAGGATGAAAACCAAGAGAAAACTGTACAAACAGACCTTGTGAAAAAAACCCATCTTCCTGTAGTTTCTTCCCCATTCTGTTTCACAATTGCTTCTTGCCCACCTTGATTAATTAACTCTCAGGCCTTGACACTTCTGTGGCCTTCATTTTCCTATAGGGGCTCTATGGGTATGTAAAAACCTGTACACTTTCTTCTGTTAATTTATCTTAAGCCAATACAATTCGCAGGCCCCAGAGACCCCGAAAAAGCAGAGACAATGTTTGGCTTCCCCTAGGTATATCCCAGCATCTCTATATGGCATACTTTAAAATTATATGCTTTTACTACAAACATAACACAGTGGTAGGGCATTTGCCTTGCATGAGGCCAACCCGGGTTTGATTCCTCTGTCCCTCTTGGAGAGCCCGGCAAGCTACCGAGAGTATCCTGCCCGCACAGCAGAGCCTGGCAAACTCTCCATGGTTATTTGATATGCCAAAAACAGTAACAACAAGTCTCAGAATGGAGACGTTACTGGTGCCCACTATAGCACTGTAGCAGTGTCCTCCCATTGTTCATGGATTTGCTTGAGCAGGCCCAGTAACGTCTCCATTGTGAGACTTCTTGTTACTGTGTTTGGCATAACAAATACATCACGGGTAGCTTGCCAGGCTTTGCCGTGCGGGTGAAATACTCTCAGAAGCTTGCCAGGCTCTCCGAGAGGGGCGGAGAAACCGAACCTGGGTCAGCCAGGTCAGCTGTGTGCAAGGCAAATGCCCTACCGCTGTGCTATGCCCACTTGAGAAAATTGACGAACAACGGGAGGACAGTGCTGCGGTGAAGTGCTACTACAAACTCACAGAGGAAGAGAGGTCTCTTCACTTCAATTCATACCATTTACTTTGTCAAATGTACTACTACTTAGGAATCTGACAATCACCACTGAAAACCAATCTCTCTGAAAAAAATGCACAAAAATGCTTATTTTGGTTCCAAACAGAACTGCCATAAGGAACATTAAAAAGCCAAAATTTAAAATTATATAAACATATAGCACCAAATTGGGCATTGGTCAATAGGAATTTTGATAGAGTCATTAAAGAAAAACAGTAAAATTTCAGTTTCAACCCTGAGTTGACAATCAACATGCTGTGAAGATTTGGGTTTATGGTTTCATGAGCAGTAAGAAGTTAGCTGAACAGAATTGTTCCCCTTACCTGCTATAGAGGACATATTAATAATGACGCCACCTTCACCTCCATTTTGTTTACTCATGTAATCCCAGCCGAGATAGGTTCCACTGATAACAGACCCCTAATTCAGAGAAACAGAAAAACAACATAGTATATTTATAACAGTCACAAGCCACATGATTACTGCTTTTGCAGGAAGATTTCTTGAAATTTCAGTATTGGCAAATGTTAATAAACTGCTTGAAATGGCCATTTAAAAGCTAACTTACTGAATTTTCTTTTATTAGGTAACAGGTGTGGATCTTATCTCAACTCTGCACTCACTTTACCTAGTTGTCCAATCTAAGATGATAAAGGTTATATCATTTATCTCATTTCTTAGCACTTTTGTGAATTCTTTCCATACTTTTAAAAAACATTGGATATAAAGCTTACTTGCCTTTTCTTAACAGATGTACAATATACATGTAACATAATATAAAGATTATTTGCCTTTTCTTATTTTCTTAATCTATATATATGTTAAAAACATATATTTATCATCAAGATATATATATATATATATTATATCCCGGTGATGTTCAGGGCTTATTTCTGGCTCTGGACTCAGGGGTCAGTCCTAGAGTGTTTAGGGGACCATATGGGATACTGGGGATCGAACAAGGGTCAGCTGCATGAAAGACATGTTCTACCTGCTTTACTATCATTCCAGTCCCATATATATATGTGTGGGTATGTACATATATGTGTATATATATAATTATGACAAAGTATTAACTGTTTTTGGCATATCGAATACAACACGAATAGCTTGCCAGGCTCTGTGGAGCGGGCGGGATACTCTCGGTAGCTTTCCAGGCTCTCTGAACATCATTCCCAACATTCTCTCTTCCAAAATCTGACATGCCATTTCGTCGGTAAAGAAGCAAACGGCACCCAGCCCAGACAAGGTCAGACCCAAACACCTGAAGAACCTGCCATCAGTACTCATCAATGCACTGGCTCGAATCTTCACACACTACATGTCTGAATGCAAGGTTCTATCCCAATAGAAAACAAGCAGGACTATTCTACTGTATAAGAAGGGAGACATCCACGACATTGGCAACCATCACCCGATCTGCCTGTTTTCTGTCGTCTACAAGCTGTTCACTTGAGTCATCCTGAATAGGATTGGCAGAACACTAGATGAAGGACAACCATCGAGAAAGCCAGGTTCTGCAAAGGATTCAGCACAATCGATCATATCCACAAGGTAACCAAGCTCATTGAGGTTTCTCAAGAGTCCAAGATGCCGCTCTGTCTAACGTTCATTGATTTAAAGAAGGCCTTTGGTTCTGTTGAGACGGAAGCGGTCATCGAAGCCCTAGCCAAACAGGGCATTCAAACTCAATACATCAGGATCTTCTGTTAGCTGTATTATGGATTCACTATCGGAATTTCACCATTCTACAAGGAAATGATCATCGATGTCAAGAGAGGGGTTAGGCAGGGTGATACCATTTCACTGAAACTCTTCAGTGCCGCCTTTGAGAACGTCATGCGGTGACTGGAATGGAAAGAAATGGGAGTAAAGATAGACGGTCAGCAACTACACCCCCACCACTTCACTGATGACATCGTTCTAATAACACCAAACATTAGCCAAGCGGTACAAATGCTGGCCGACTTCGACCATAAATGTGGGAAGCTCAGAAAACAGCTGAATCTCACAAAGACAATGTTTATGAGAAGTGGACTTGTTCCTGACTTCCATTCACTCTCAACAGAACAAAAATCTCCGAATGCAACAGTTATGTATACCTAGGTTGAGAACTCAACATAATGAATGACCTGGTACCTGAGTTGCACAGGAGGAAGGGGGCAGCTTGGAATACCTTCAAGAAATAGGTTAAGAGGACGAAGAACCTCCCTTTCCAGGCACATCTCTTCGATTCCACTCTTCTTCCTGCATTAACATAAGCCTCAGGGACTTGGGCCCTATGAAAACAGGATGAGATCGCTATTTGGGTCTCCCAAAGAGGAATTGAAAGAGCTATGCTTGGAGTATCACACTTCACTCAAGTGCGAGAAGGAAACTGGAGTTCCGACCTCCTTCTATGATCGAGAATGAGGGATGCTGTCACATTTGCCCAGGTGTCGAAAATCAGATAGGCTGGACACATAATGCAATTTGGAGACGACCACTGGGCTAGAGCCATTACTGACTGGATTCCATGGGATGTCAAAAGATCACGGGCCACTCACCTACGAGATGGTCAGACTTCTTCGTCAATACCCTGAGTGATTGGTTTGAGGCTCTTCATGTTCCCGCTATTGGGCTACAGTAGCACGCCACAGGGAGGAATGGAGACTTTACTTGCACAAACTCGAGCAAATTGATGAGTAACGGGATGTCAAGTGATCAAGTGATGACAAAGCAATTCACATTTATCAGCTCTAACTTTATGGGATCCAGCCTCTTTCCCATCAGAATACAAAGTTAGTGCAGACACTAGTAAATTGTAATTCAGCCATAGAAATCCATTCTCTTTGCCAATGCCTGATTTAGGTGCCCATGAATGACCCATTTGTGGCCAGTGAGCGCTGAGAAGCAGTCAGCTGGAAGTGGGGTCTGGGTTGGAGAGGGGAGGTAGAAATCCACACTGAAACATGAGAAAATGCTCTACATCATTAATCATCAGGGAGATGCAGATCAAAACAACAATGAGATATCATTTCACACCACAGAGACTGGCCCACATCCAAAAGAACAAAAGCAATCGGCGCTGGAGCAGATGTGGATAGAAAGGGACCCTCCTTCACTGCTGATGGGAATGTTGACTGGTTCAGCCCTTTTGGAAAACAGAATGGGTGATTCTCAAAAAATTAGAAACTGAGCTCCCATTTGACACAGCAATACCACTCCTGGGAATATATCCCAGAGAGGCAGAAAAGTATAGCTGAAGTGACATCTGCACTTGTTTATTCATTGCAGCGTTGTTTACAATAGCCAGAATCTGGAAAAAACCTGAGTGCCTGAGAACATATGACTGGTTAAAGAAACTTTACATCTACACAATGAAGTACTATGTAGCGGTTAGAAAAGATTAAGTCATGAAATTTACATACAAGTGGTACTACCTGGAAAGTATCATGCTAACCGAAATGAGTCAGAAAGAGAGGGACAGACATAGAAAGATTGCATTCATCTGGGGAACATAAAGTAACAAAATAGGAGAGTAACACCCAAGAGTGGCCGAGATTAGTACCAAGAGTTTTGCTCCATGGCTTGGAGGCCAGCCACACTTTGTAGGGGAAAAGGCAACTCAGATAGACAAGGGAGCACCAAATAAAGGGTGTTGGGAGGATCCTGCCAGGATGGGAGATACATGCTGAAAGTAGACTATAGACCAAACATGATTGCCACTCAATGCCTCTTTTGAAAACCACAGCACCCAAAAGGAGAAAGAGAACAAAAGGGAATGTCCTGCCACAGAGGCAGGGTGGGATGGGGAGGATGGGGGATGGGAGGGATACTGGGATCAGTGGTGGTGGAAAATGGGCACTGGTGGAGGGTTGGGTACTCGATCATTGTATAATTGAAACCTAAACACAAAAATTTGTAAATCTACAACTGTACCTCATGGTGTCTAATAAAAATTAAAATAAATTAAAAAAATAAATAAAGCTAAAAAAAAGAAAGAAATCCGTGCTGTAGAGAAGCTTTTCCACTTTAGCAAGCTTGAAGGAAACTCTCACTCCTTCCCTATTGCTTCGCATAGGTTCAACAGCTGCAAGAAACAAGTCATTGTATTGTGAGCATCCTTATTATTCCTAACAACATGGAGACATTACCAGAGTAATGCAAATGGGTTCTGACCATATCCTGGAGCTACCGGGACAAGCAACTCTGAACTGTTGTGTTGTGTGAGACCACAGAACTGATGTTGTTGTTGTTGCTGTTGTTGTTGTTGTTGTTGTTTTCTCCAGTCTAGAGTGGATGATTTTCTGTTTCTCGGGCATATGGTCTAAAGTGAGGTCAAATCATTGCTTACACTATGCCTGAGTAGGGCGCTTTCCTGTAGTACTCTGACATCACCTCTACCAAAGGCTGCCTGTAATGGGAAACAATTGAAACCCTATTTTTCCTGACCAAATTTGAGAATTCCTCTCTTCCAACTCTGACTTTTAGGAGGTAAATATATCCTTTGACATCTTCATGAAAATGAGTCTCAAATTAAGGGAGCTTATTCACGTTTACTGTTTATATTTAAAAAATCTGCTTGCAATTTCTTGACAAGTACATAGAGTTGCCTCTTTCCCTAATTGTATTTTCAGAACAACAACAAAAACGTAAATTGCAGGTTCTATTCTCTTAAGCCCTGTGTCTATTTGATATTAAGTAGGTTTAGGGAGAAAGAGTAAAATCTCCAAGTGATTCTAGTTTAAAAAGACAAAACAAAACAGGAATGGTCTGTTAGAGGAGGAGAAAATGCAGATGTCAGAAATTACTAAAGTCAATGAGACTCTGTTATATTCTTCCCAAGTCTCCAGCATGTTTGAACAGAATTTATGTTTATATGATTTGGCGAAACGTTTTTATTCTCAGGTATTTAGAGCTTTGCTGACACCTCACTTTTGTGTTTTCAACACCTACAATATGCAATAAGATAGAAAATTGGAGAAGGTTAATTTTTGTGTTTGTGTGAAAACAAGAATTATTTCCAGGTCTTTGTTAGAGGATGACAAATGATTATTTTCTTCTATACTATCAGATTAAGAACTGAGAAACTTTTCAAATGAAAGCGTTCTTGAGCTAACCCTATAAGACAAAGTTTATTAATTTGTTGGTAGTACATATGTGATATTTTCAGTTTTTTGCTAATCCATTCTTTATCTGGGGATTGTTAGAAAATTATAGGTAAAGGTAAAGGTAAAGGCCCTCCCGTTGATCATCGATTTGCTCGAGCGGGCCCAGTAACGTCTCCATTGGAGACTTTGTTGTTACTGTGTCTGGCATATCGAATACGTCACGGGGAGCTTGCCAGGCTCTGCCGCGCGGGCGAGATACTCTCGGTAGCTTGCCGGGATCTCCGAGAGGGGCGGAGGAATCGAACTCGGGTCAGCCACATTGGCTGC